CGTAGCAAGCTGGTGACACCCAGCTTGTTTCTGCTGACCCATGTGGTACAAGAACATGCCAAAGACTGAGGCAAGTACTTGGCGCTTCACCTGCACAGCAAAATCATTGCTGATGCACTGCTGGAAGCACCAGGACTATCCGTAGAGTTTACTTGTCCTGCTGGTAAGAGATACTTCTCCTCTGTGCCAAATCAGCGTGCCTGGCTAGCTGCTGTTTGGAGATCAGGGTGAGACTACTGCACCTTTTCGGCCCAGACCAAAGCGTTCTGGTTTACTGCACTTGGCAAAGCAGGTTTAACCCCGCATGGGACACCCCTCAGCTCCAGCAACACACATCCTGTTACTCGTTCAGCAGCAGCAACTCTCACAATGATTTCTTCAATACCTGGCTGAAGTTGACAGTAGCTCTCCCAGCTGTAACTTCAATCAGCGTGGTATTTTCTAGATTTGATTACTGCAGTGCTCTCCGTTTTCCTGCAGAACTGCAAACTGTTTGGTTGTGTGAGTAAAAGATCCTCTCCATGAACACAAAGGAGCACAGAGGCACAACAGCAGAGGGGGGGACCCATGAGAGAAATGAAGCACCCCAGCCTGCATGTTCTCAGGCCTCTCAAGGGAGCTCTTGATTTCAAAAGCTTCCAAATCAGGTGATACAACAGAAATGATAGAAAATTTTAATGTGAGAAAAATGCATTCTAATTTTCGGTAAGAAAACTCACTGACCATTTTTCAACAAGTACATTCAGACGACTGAGATTATGTTTTTCTCAAGTTCTCATGTCAAGTGTCTATGCCCTTTGCTGTGCAGAAATTCAGCATGTAAGGACACATTTACCACATCACTTACCAGCTAAGCTGAAAATCCATGTGTAATTGTTATTCTTCCTCCTACTGTAAGTTGTTACAAGTTCTGCTTATTGAAAGGAAAGCTGCAAGTACTCTAGTAAGAACATCTATATTTATTTCTGCGATCAAGCATTTATAGTCTGAAAGTACTGAAGATGAGGAACTTTTATCCTGTTAGGATAATCATCCATTTCTTTGTAAGGTTTGGCCCCTTCTCCCCAGCTGGCTAGCTTAATTAACAAATTAAGCAGAAGTATATGGCCACAAAATGCTAGGTAAAGACTCCTTAATTAACAAAGGTGAGATATGGAGAGTGATGAGGAAAAAGTGACTTTTCTTAGATGCTTAGGGACTTCCAGATGGTATAAATAAAAGGGATGGCTTTCAACTTATTTAAAGTTTGCCTCAAATTGATCTTTCATCCAACATTAAAAGCATTGAAGTTATTTTTACAGTGCTTGCTGGAGTTTCATATTCTGCCCTTTTTCAGCAGCAAAGCAAATGTCAGCACTGTGAAGCTCTGGAAACGCACACTGAATGTCAGAAACAGCGAGATCTGGAACTCAGAAACCTTGAACTTTTCGACCATAAAAGCCTTAATGCCTGGCAACTGCACACTGGGTTATAACTTGGAAAATGTCACAAGAGGATGAATTGGGATTCCTTGTAATGCAAGTAGTGAAGTATGTCCAAAAGTGACACAGAAAGCCCCAGGGCAAATCCAGCCATCCACATGCGGCCGTTACCAGCTGCTTCACAAAGAGATGCTCGTACCTGCGGTAATGGAAGTCACAGGTCTAGCAATTTGAAATGGCAGCGACAGGAGATGGGAAAAGGAACTCTGGAAACTACTGCAAGGAGAGGCACAGTTAATGATGCACCTAGTGATATACTGACTTTATTAACCAAACTATATGTGGCACACAAGGGGTTAGCAAGAACTACTAGATTAAAACCAGGTTAAGTCATCATTTATCTTTGCCCACAATCACCAAAACTCATGCCTGCACACTGCAACAGAGTGAACATTTGCTTTTTCATGAAAGGGATGACCAGTCAAATTTGAAATATCAAACTAATTCCTACTTTGACTCGAATGATAAACCTGTGCTTGCCAGAGGGAGGTGGGAATTCCTTTATTTAGATATAAAATACATCTTCTTCATCTGACCTCGGTATGTGCCAAGAGTCGAGGGCAAGTTGATCTGGCTTTGGAGTCAGCCCTGCTTGGAGCAGGAGGGGGTATCAGGTGACTTCCAGAGCTCCCCTCCAACTCCAAGCCTTCTGCAGCTCCTCTCTTGTGGACCCCGCACAGGCTCTTACCTCGCTCCCACCAACTGGATCCCACAGTGCACACTCAAACCTCGGAGTTCAGTTAACACTCGGCCAGGCAGATCAGCTTCAGCTTCTGACCTCACTGTGCCCCGAATTCCTGCCTCCTGCATCCCCGCGGGGTTGTGGCGGGCAGCAGGACTGGGGTTCTGGTATCTGCAGGTATCAGAATCCAAATAAACAAGGAGAGACTGTACTGACGTGGAACTCACTGCAGTGACACGTTGGAAAGATTAACTGAAGGAAGTTCTGCAGGAAATGCTACAAAAGCAGGACAGCCTCACCTAGCCCGGAGAGCACGTGCTCCAGGGCAGGGTTCTCACAGCCCAGGCAAGGTCAAGTCCTTCCCTCCCACTTGGACCTTAAAATTCAACTTCCTTAATTCAAGTTTCCTTTTCCAAACACTGGCAGGATAGCTTAGGAAAAACTAAGCCTTCCAGGAAAATTATTGACCATCTGCTGCTGTCCTTGAACAGGGCATAAACATGCAACTACATCTCCTGGAAACGACTCTGCTTGTTTGAGTGGAGGCATTTAAATCCCTTTAACAGGCAACGGATACTTTAGTTTGTGTGACCACTGAAGGACAGTGGCAGAGGAACTGCTTCCCACCACACAGAGGAAACTGCTTCCCCTAAACGTAGAATCACCCTCCTGAATGTTTAAGTTTTCAATGAGGTTTTTGATTATTCCTCAGAAGACACATACACACTCTCCTTTTTATCCACTGTCACTATCCTAGAGAAAAACTGAAGATGTGCTTTTCCTATGGCCAATATGAACTCACTGCACAAACACAGCAGAAGAGAAGCAGTAATTTTGCCACATATGACAAAAGCTCCTGAAATTTAATCAAATAAAATGAAAACTCAACCTCCAATAGTATTACTATTTATTACTCAAAGAGTAATAAAATGTTTTTAAAAATATTTCAATGCTCTTTGGTTTAGTCCTTTTGCATGTGTTTCCTGGTTGCTCATGCATAATAAATTGAAAGTCAATAGTGGCTCCTTTCAGATTCCACCAAGGGAAACTTCCAAAGGTGAGCATGCAGGACTGACATTTTCAGTTGTCTGAGTCAATTTACAGCAGCAATATGAACCTGTGACTGTGTCACATATAAAACATGAAAACTGCTTATATCTACACAGAACTGCCCTGGTTTATCTGGAAAATGGGTATACATCTATGCTGCCAGAAGACCACTATATACACAGACCAAAATTGTGTACTGGAGCCACAGCACGGGAAAGGTGTGCACACAAGGAGCAGAATTACCTCTTTTTGCTCCTTGGGCCACTCCGCCTTTTAGAGCCCAGTACGTGATGAAAGCAGGATGTGAATTCCACGGGGATGAGTAGCTGCTCCTCATTTCTACCTCCGCTACAGCTATCACAGTGCGGGCTCTCTGGTGCCTCATGCCAGTGATCAGCCTTTGGTTCATAATCATGAATTTCTAGGAGACAGAAAATCCTCATACTCATGGCCCACAGTTGACAAGGAATGGCTAAAAATCTTCCCCTTCTTTCATGAAAAGCATTCAACCTGCAGCAGTTGTTGTGATACTTTGCCCCTTAAACACTGACTATAGAAAATAAAATTAAAGCAGTTCTTTAAGCCCACGTTCTTCCCTGAGGTAACAGCTGTCCTCTAGCCAGGCCGTTTCAGTCTGCCATTCTACAAGCGGCAGTTTGGGACAATTCTCTCTTACAGCTCCTCAGTCTTGAACCCAACTCTAGTCAGAAGTCAGTGGAGACCCTCCCAGTATGGGCATGAACGACAGGTTTGTCATGGCAGAGCCAGAACACCTCCAAGCTGAGGAAATCAGTGATCTGACTGTTCTTGATATGCCCTACCAGCACGGCAAGGAAGAGGCAAACTGGGCTTGGAACAGACCTGCCATCCAAGAACTGAAAGCAAACCCCAACTTCTGCAGCACTGCTGGCACGTTCAACAGGACAACCCTTCAGGTGAAAGGGTCACACGGCAAGACGGGAGTGCTCTCTATTAACTGGAGATGGTATGTCCTTAAAGCCTATAGTTTTGGATATTCCCCTGCTCTCAGGCTGTGAAAAGCTCTGCTGGGTCCAGTACAGTGCACAGCAAAAGTGGGAGCAGAGCCTGGGAACCTCTGTGTGAGGAGCTACACCAGCTGGGGTTACAACTGCCTTTACCAAGTCTTTCAATCGAAGCACGAACATATTAAGACTCCACCTTCACTTTTCCCCCAGAGCTCCTGAGAACAAATACACTTCTCAGAACTTCTCCCCAGTGACTGTCCACAACCTAAAGGAAAGGGATGAACAATATAATATTTTGAACCTTTTCTGTTTGAATCTAATTAGGAATCTTTGTGTCCAAACCAAAATCTGCATTTCTCCGTGGACTTACCATTCATAGTTTCAGACTTCTCTCTTTTTTTTCCTCTACCCAAAATGTGAGCATGGCAAAAAAAGTCACCAGATGCTTGGAAATACTCTTGAAAATGTAATCTTTTGGAGAGAAAACTCTTATTCATTAAGATGAATTAACAGAATTCAATCTGAATTCTTACCGTATACAGATCATGCAGGTGCACACAGAATAATAATAATAATTAAACCCACACGATTAAGAGGAGAAGTGGGAAATTATTGCAGGATCAGAATCTGCAGATAGGTGTGTGGTTACTAAAGTATACGATGCCAAGTGTGATTTTCACCACAAGTAACTACACTACCAATAGGACTAATAGCAATTTCAACGTAAGCACAAAATAATCTTATTTTTGGATACGGCAATTCTTGTTATCAGAGAAAAATGAGGGCAGACTGACGCGTTACCTGCCGAGGGGTCCTCTCGGATTTGCTCCTGCACCACTCCCAGTCCGCCAGCTCGGGTTTATGGCTTTCCTCGTGAGACAACCTCCTCTCCGCGCCCTCCAGAAACTGCCCGGCCTCTTCCCCCGCCAGGGGCGCCGGTGTCT